TGACAGGTCACTATAGTTATGATTTTCATTTTCCTAAGGAGTTCTGGTGGTGCTGTAGGATAAGCACTGTGCTGCTAATTCCAAGGTTGGTGGTTCACACCCATCCACTGCTCTGTGGGAGTAAGAGGGGATTTACAGTCTCTTTAGAAACTCTACAGGGTCTCTATGAGTCGGAAACTGTCTGATGGCAGTGGGTTTTATTTATTTTTAAATAAAAACAAAAAAGGAAAATCTAGTTATTAACACAAACATGATTTTTTAAAAGGCAAGGCAAAGACATAAATATATCTACTAAGACATAAATTGGATTAAATTTATTTTGAGGGATTATCAAAATATAAGCTTTAAAATGCATAAAATTCACTTAATAGTTGTAAACATGTTGATTAACCAAGTGTTACAATAATAATTTTAAGTCATATAGTCGAAATACTTAAAGTGGAAAACCATGGTAATAACCCTCTTAAGGACTAAGATTGTTGTTGTTGTTGTCAAGTGCCATCAAGTCGGAACCGACTCATAGCGACCCCATGCACAGCAGAACGAAACAATGTTCGATCCTGGGCCAACCTCACTACCGCCGCCACACCTGAGTCCATCAATGATGCCACCTGGCTGATCCATCTCGTTGGGGGTCTTCCTCTTTTTCTTTGACCCTCCCCCTACCCAGCATGACATCCTTCTCCAACGATTGTTTCCTCCGGACAATATGTCCAAAGTAGGAGAGACGAAGCTTAGCCATCCTGGCCTCCAAGGAGCACTCTGGCTGCACTTCTTCCAAAACAGATCTATTGGTTCTTTTGGCAGTCCATGGCACTTTCAGTATTCTCCTCCAACACCACAACTCAAAGGCATCAATTCTTCTACGATCCTCCTTATCCACTGTCCAGCTTTCACATCCATATGAGGCTATTGAAAACACAATGGCCTGGGACAGGCGCACCCTAGTCCTCAAGCTGACATCTCTGCTCTTCAAAGGACTAAGATTAGCATGTACTTAAATATTTCAATAATAAGCTACATATTCAATAGTGAGGTACTCATTCAGAAACTTTATGATCTTATCTCTAAGAGAATCGATTAGACTAATTTTCACTACTTCTTTAAGTAGGATAAAGGATTATTATTAACAACCACAACACACTGCATTTGTTACCTCATGGTTTGGAACTAATCTTTTGTTATTACTACCAGTGTCTAGGTGTGGCACTGTAGGATAAGAACTGGACCACAAAGTTGGTTTGAACTGCAAGGTTGGCAGTTCAAACCCACCCGCCGCTCCTCAAAAACTCTATATAGGGCTGTTATGAGTCAGAACCAACTTGATGGCCTTTAACAACAACAACCATAGTCTCTGGACCCTTTTATCCTTTGTGTCAATGAAACAGTTTCACATTGGTATGTTTCCAAGATGGTGGTATGGTATTAGAATTCACATTTCCCAGTTCTGTGGATGTCTCAATAACATGACTGATGTTATATTATTTAAGTAAACTGCCAAAGGCCAGGGGCAATACTCTGAATATGTGGCTTATTACTGATATATTTAAGTACATGTTAATCTTAATCCTTAAAAGAGTTATTGCCATGGTTTTTCACCTTAGAAGCATTTTTCTTCTAAGAAATGCTGATAGGGCTGTATCAAAATGGCAGCAATTCAGACCTTTAAAAACCACACTCAGAAGTCAAACTCACTATTTAGACATTTTTAGAGGCAAGGGACAGGTTATTTCTGAAATTCAGAGTTCTTGGAATGTAATAAACTTCTTGGGCGAAATGAGGAAACAGTAACAGTGAACTCATATTAAATTTGAACATTATTAGTACACCAACGAAGAAATGAATGATTCGAGAGTCCCTTAATTCAGAAACATTTTAATACAATCAAAGTACAGCTATAAAACACATTCAACCCACTGAGTATATTCAAGATATTAATAAAAATATTGTACAACTTTATTCACTACCGTAATATAACTAAAGTTTTGGCTCTTATAGATGGGAGAAATTATCATATTCATTCTTATTTGTACTGCAAGTCAAAGAGCATGTAAGTTATTAATCTATGTATTATGATAATGGGACTTCAGTGTGTTTTGGATCTGAAGTCGAAGTATAAAAAATTAATGTGCTCTTTTTTAAATAACACAATACTTGAATCCTATAAAGAACAGTCAACCAATTTAAGGCAAGATAATGAATTTTTTATATAACTAATTTGAAAAAGATAAAAGAATACTTTATCCAAGATCATATATATATACGTTAACATTCAGATACCTATAGGTTCATACAAAGACAGTAATAAAAATGTCAGTGCAAGTTTTATATTGAGTTCCTCAGTAGAGAACATATAGGTTCTTGGAGTAACAAATTATCTTCAAATCCCAGAACACTGGCAAGAAGAAAAAATTCTGGTGTAGGACTAGTATAGTATGATTATTCTTACTTAATAAAGATAGGTATAAAACATTGTGATTTTACATAAAAATTAGTGTCATTGCCAGTTTACTAACATTTTGTTTTTACTTTACTGTAAGCTTTTAAAAAAGTTGAAAAACCCTACTGATTTTAAATTTACTGGTATAAATTTACTGACAGTAGTAGTGTAAAGAGGTTTCTCTTTTTTTTTTTTTCCTTTGGGTAAGGGCTGAAGATTAAACTCTCAAGAAGAAATAACTTATGTTATTAAAATAAATGCAAAATATGTATATGGGGGATGTGTTTATTGATTTTGTATGACCAAGGAAAGCACAAAAATGAATTAAAATAAGAAAAAAAACATCATTACCATTTTTTTCTGAACTCTGGTTAACTGTACAGTATTAATCATAATATACACTTTCAGATAAGAAGCCAGATTTCTTGTAATTATAAAGTGACATTACATTTTCTAGCTTTGTTATTTGAGCTAAAAGACACTTGCTGTTAAGACTGCAAAAGGGAGTGCACAATTAACAATGATATCTTTTACCAAGACAGCACTTTTGTTTTCATGGCTAAATGACAACTCATGGAATGGAATCAGGTTTCAAATGCATCAAGTGAATACATCTAGCACATTTTTATATTTGCAAATCTTAAGGAAATGTTAACTGGGTGTGGAAAAAGTAAATAACCGGTAGTTCTTGGATGTACATTTGAGAATTAACTTATTAAATAGGCAACACAATTTAACATAAATTTAACATAAAAGATACTCATATATCAAACTCATAGGTTTTTCTACAATGGACCATTAGTGTTAGGCACCAAAATTTTTAAGTTTTTTTTTTTTTAAACTTCTCCTACTGATACATCCTCAACCGTTTTTATTTCTGCTCTGGAGGTATCACCACTTACATTAAACATGTGCACAGTTCATACAAATTCTGTCTTAGGCAATGAATTTGAGGTCACTTTCTCTCTTGTGTTCTTTATTGCCGTAGGTAGGTCACTGTCATCTCTAGTGCCATTTACAATGTTTCTAACTTTCCATCCCAGCCACAGCAGTCCTGGCGTGGCACTATAGGATAAGCACTGGACTGTTAACTGCAAGAATCCACCAGCCGCTTCTCAGAAACCCTATACAGGGTCTCTATGAGTTGGAAACGACTTGATGGCACTTAACGACAACATCCTAGTCACAGGAGTAAATATTGTATACATATATTTAGCTAAACTAGGGATACTTATTTGTAAAGTTGAATGAATAATTAGAGTGAATCTCATTTTTAATGGCTACTATAGTCATTTCAATCATGTCCCTTTATGATTTTTAATCCTGATATATAAAATCATCTTGTGTGGATGAACATTGTTTACAACAATGTAACTAACCCCATTTACAAGACAAACTTCTCCATAAATGTCTGTATTTAAATTTAGTTTGAAACAAAGAATTCTTGTCCTGGGCTGCTTCTGAAGACTCTGCCTAATTCATGGAGTTCTTATAGCAAACAGGAATGGATGGGCGCACGAGTAAATAATTTTCACTTGTTTAATCAAGGAGTGGAGGATAAGGATATAGAAGTGAAATTATCAAACTTCAAGTAACATTGCTGGGAATAAGTGTCAGATTATAATGGAATGATGGAATTTAACATACATTAATTAATCTTATTAAAGATGCTCCTTGGAAACCCTATACAGGGTCACTATGGGTTGGAATCAACTCGACAGCACTTAACAACAACAACATTAACTCAGTGAGGAACAAAGACTTAAATGGCTGGACTGTTTGAGTCACAAATAAGTAGAGAATGACTTTTCTGTAGGAAAAATCATTAGTAATTGTACACAATTTCTTGTCTTCAGTAAGTTAAAAGTGAGTGATACTAATTATTATTTATCAAAAGTCAGGAAAAAAAAATCAGAAATGAAGTGCAGGGGAAGCATATGAAGTTAAGGCACCATTATTTACAATTTCGGTAATTGGCACTTATCCTGAAAAAGGCTTTAAAGTCATGAATAATAAAAAGCAATATTATTTTTCCCTCTACTTTTCTAAATTATTTAGTAGTTCTTAACATAGCTACATGTTATTTGTGCTTTGCTTTTCGGCCTTATTAATAGCAGCTGCATTGTATGCTTAACACCCCACACCTTTCCTTTCCTTTGGTGTTTGTGAACATACACAGTGGTAAAGGCTGTAAAGGTGCATAATAGGAGAACAAACCTGCTGTGTCAGTATAAGCACCAGTGTAAAATAGGTGGCTGAACTGACATAGTCCTATCAGACCAAACTAAAGCTATTACTCAGAATTACTCAAGAAAGGATTAAAACCATCACCAATTCAAAGCTGTTTTCAAGTCTTATTATAAATTAAGTTTAGGGTTTGTAGCTTTCTATATAATGACTTTAGAACAGAAATGGCATCTACAAATTTATACAAATTAGTTTTGTGACTCTTGGTTGATCCAACAGAACTGTTGGAATAGAGCAAGTATATTTAACTAAAATTTTGTCCAAGTATAAAAATACTATACATAATTCACAACTAAGTGTGTGTGTGTTGACACACATTTATAATAATGGTTTTTGCTTCCAAAACTCAGAAATTCACTAGCTTACAAATAGGTTGCTGCAGTCAGCTGATACCACTTAACCGTCTCTTTACTCAAGTTGAAATCTTTAAGAGGCAGAGTTACTCCACCCAAGAAAAAATTCTCCCGCAGGGATTCTGCACTGAGTACACTTAGTTGAAGTTCTCTCTGTTTTAGGGTTTCTTTGCTGTATCCATTGTACACAAGCTAGAACAAAGGAAAAATGAAGCAGTAAATTAAAAGTTAGTTATAGTAACAATAAATGGATAATGAAGGGCCTGGTGTAGTACTGTAGGATAAGCACTGTACTGCTAATCACCCACCAGCCACTCCTTGAGAATTCTGTATAGGGTTACTCTAAGTTAGAACCTACTTGACAGCACTTAACAACAGCAAAAATGGCTAATGAGCATTTCTTCATATGTTTAATTATTTCTTAAGGTCTCCATTTGACATCCCTCCCCACTCTGTCTGCCCCAAACAGAAAGTTCAGCCCCCTACAGGGCCTTTCTAAAGACAAGCAGATGAAGGACAACACTTCCTGCTGAGCCTCTGCATTACATAAGATGTAAGGTGGAATCCTGAAACCCATCCAGAATCTTCTGAGGTGGGAAATTTCCACTTGAAAGGACAAGCAGACCAGCCTGGAGCGGCTAGAAGAACAGAAGATACTTCTTAAAAGACCAACAGGAAAAATAAAAATCAATATAGGCAGTCCGACTGATTACTATAAGAACAAGCAAGAAGCGGTCAGGTCCCCTCAGGGCAAACCCCCTTCTAAGTGTAAAAACCAACTTCTGGATGATTATAAAGAGAGTCTGTAAAAAAAAAACACACAAAAAAACTAAATGGGAATACATGCTCTGATTGGTGATCATGTTCGTCACCAATAAGGGGAAGTGAGGGAAAAACAGCAATGAAGCTGTGAGCTAAGCCCTACAACGTTTAATAGACTTCTGTGAACCTGGGTGGAGACCTGGTTGGCCAGCAGTGTGTGGCAAGACCTGGGAACTCTTGAGCCCAGAGTCAGTGACATAGCCACAGAGGACTAGAGTGGAGAGTGAAGCATCCAGCTGATAAGAAGAGAGGGCATATGCACAAGAACATCCACACTTGCAGATAATACCCACTTGACCTGGCTTCAATGACTGGATGATCAGAGCTCAACTAGAAGAAGAAAGAAGAGGGAAAAAAAAAAAAGAGTAATCTAATACAATTTGATGAACTTGACCTACACCTATGGATGCTGTAGCTCAGAAAAGGGAACAAATCTTTACAACAAGGATCATTCCCACCCCCTCCATACACAGAGTAGACAGGGATGGGCAACTTGAACACTGGCTCCCCAAAATGGGGGGGCTACAAAGGCAAGAAGTGACTGGCTTACAAGCTTTCAAGAGGGAACCTAGAGCCAGAGGGCCTGGAGGAAGGTAGACTCTCCAGTGAGTAGTAACCAATCTGTCTAGGCAGAGCTGATGAAAGGAGATGCGGACAGGTCTCTTGTGATACACTAGTAAATAATTGTTATCAGGACTGATCATGAGGGTTGGAAGTGTAAAGGTGGACGGTTTGTAGCAAAAGGAGGGGAGTTATTGACTTTTCAGACTAGGAGCAGAGGTCCCTGGGACCATGAAGGGAGAAAAGCGGAAAGCGGGACCCTACCCAGAGAGGCAGTGATGCCAGAGATGGAGGCAGAGACACTGATGTGGAGAGATGGAGCAGCTGGGGACTTTAGACACAGAGAGGGAGAGGGGCTGTGTGCTGATGACAGGGGGAGTGGGGACAGATGGGGTATACCCTTTGTTTGGTGGATGATGCATGGAGGGGATTGTAACCACGGCAATGAAATGATATACGATAGGATGAATGTAAAGCTAATGTTCTCCCATGTAAACTATCACATAATTCACAATAAAATATTAAAAAAAAAAAGTTATAGTAAAATGATTTGTCTTTTTGCAGTATTTTAAGTGAAATCGTAAGTGAGAATATCAAAAAGTGGCCACAAATCAGTGACACTGATTAACACGTGTGGCGGGGGCTTTGTCTCATGACTGTAAGAGCACATTTTGTGTTTCTGGAGTCCTGGACTGTGCCATCATTCTTCTAGGGGTTGGACATAGGGATGCACAGAGCAACAGACATGATTTTCTGAGATGTAGGAGATGGGGTAGGAGAATGAGATTATACGGTAGTATGCCTTAAGATGATCTCCTGGTTGTGAATGGAGGGAAACAAATTGAAAAGCATAACTGCAATTATTTTACAAAAAGGGGAAGATTAAAATTTCCTTTGTTGTCTTTTTCTGCTAGATTTTATTTACCAATGAAGTTAACAGTTTCTGATTTTCCATTAAACCTAATTTAAGACAAACTCATGAACTAAAATATATTAACAGCAAATCTTGAGTGTTGCAAGCTATCCTATTTCAAACTCTCCTAATATTCATTCAACACTTTAACTTCCATAAAGTGTCATTGTAAGTTTTGAGAAACAATTCCTTAACCTAATCCTGTTTAGTTAAAATGACTTAAAAAATAGAAAATAAAAATCTGATATTTCATTTTTTTGACAGTACAACACTTGAAAAAAAAAAATTAATACTACCTTTTAAGGACAATACCAACTGTTCTTCACCAAGTATTGGTGGAGCACTGTTGGGTCAGCACTGGACTGTAAACCACAAGGTTGGCAGTTCAAACCACCAGCTGCTCCTTGGAAACACTACACAGGATCACTATGAGTTGGAACTGACTTGATGGCAAACAACAAGAAGAAGAAAGAACCTCTACAGCTTTAAAAATTTATAAATTTAATTAACTTTCAAAATTATTTGCTTCCATCTCTATCCAGACATTTTTGTGTGGATGTAACGCAAATGTAATGTTAATAACACAGATAATGTGGTGTCATTTTAACTAAGAAGTTGAATGACAAAAAAACCTTAGCAGAGTTTAATGAGTAAGTTTTTAAGCTGACCATGAGTATCTTAGCCAATTTACAGTGCTGTTCCCCACAGATCAACTGATGATTTGCTTATTGCTTTCATTTTGAGCATTTTAATTAAAAGGGTTACCTACCAACAGACTGGATCATGTTTGAAGGAGAATGATTATGATTGTGAAAGGAATATGAAATTTTATTTTATCAAGTGAAGGTAAAGGTACTGAAGATGTTTTGAAAGATGAAATAGGATATCCGAACTTCAATTATTTGAAGGGCTGCCATATAGAAGAAGGAAAAGAGTAATTCTGTATGGCTCCAAGAGCTACAAATGCAATGGATGGGTGTACATCAATGCAGAGAAAGATTTCAGGTCAGTATAAAAGACTATCTTTTAAAGAGCTAGGGTTGTCCAGGAGAAGAGGAAAAGGCCTTGAAGTATTTAAGCATAGACTGGAGAAGCGCTATGTGAGATGTTACAGAATAGGCTCAAGGACTAGAAGGACAGTTGACTCATATAACTTCCAAGGGATTTTAAAAATATAAAGATCTTTTTTTTGGTTTTACTCTGCATCATTTTGTCAAGTATCATTAGACTGCTATTGATTTGCTTTTGTAGTGCACTAATTCAGTAACTCTTATCTAAAAATTAGAAATTTAAAATGTTTTAAAGTTAAATATCCCCAAAGAACAAATATAGGCAATTTTTATAAATTATTTTAACTTACCATTTCATTGAATGTTGGATTTCTAGTTTTTCGTGACACTTTTGTTTTACGTTTGGATGTTTTGTGGGTATCTGGAAGTAGGTACGTTTTGACATATGGATTTGGGTCAGCTCCATCCTCAGTAACCTACAAAGAAAAGCAGTATCTTAACAGTAATGCTTCATTTCTACCAAAATATAGGCTACCTCTACAGTCATCAATATTTGTAATCACTCACAAGATCTTTGATGTGCATCACCATGATGAAAAGAGTACCATTTCTGTAAGAGACAGATAATTTCACTGCTCCTCCTATCTGGCCTGGAGTAGGACTGAAAGCACCTGCAACTGAACACAGAAACTTACATACATCCATCCTATCTGCAGTGGTTCAAACAACAACAAAAGAATTTTGTTTTACTTATGCAGACCATCACATGTAGAAACAAGACAAAAAAACCCACAAAAGAACCTGGTAGGCCACCCATTTAATACTTTTTAAGTAATCACAGTCTATTAGGAAAGTTTATCTAGAAATAGACTGGCTTAGAAAGAATACCTTCCTACCATCCTGCTGAATAGAGCCAATCTGTCCACTGCCACTCTGCAGCCTCTACTAAGACCTGAAACTCACAGGGAAGCCATGAACCGGCTACAAAGAGAAACAAAACTTACCTGCGGACCTAGCTACTCCTTCAGCTTTCTCATCACGAAGTAAAGGATGGAAGAAAGTACAAACAAGATCACACTAGATTGAAAAGAGGAGGAAGACAGAGTTATTAGTTTAATTAAACATGATGTAGCACAAAAGGTGCAGAACATTATTCTCACTTAGGTAGGTCACCTCTGCTACATCAGTTGAAGCACTCATCAAGCTCTGCAAATAGCTGTTTAACTCAATTTTCCTCTTGGCTGCTACATCTTTTATGTGTGTCCTTCCTAGAACCATTTTATTAGGAAACCTACAAAAGAAAAAGAAAAACAAGGGGGATTTAAATAATTTCATCTGGAAGTATTTGTAGTCAAGGATAATATTTACTTAGAAATATACAAAGTAGAATCTTCATTCACAAGAAGGTACTTTTTGATAATTTCCCTTCAAGAAAATACACACTTAAAAAAAAAAGTACTGAAAATGAAACAGCTCAGTTATCCATTATTCTTTCATGAACTTTGGCAGAAAAAGTGCACATGTTGCTAATTTACTATATTTATTACTAGGATGGTGAAACTGACTTATTTTCTCTCAAATATAATCATCCACAAATACTTTATCCAGATCTGACCCCCAAAATTCTTCAATCATCCAATGGCTATTGTAGACACCAGTAAAATTCACAAAGAAAGACGTAGGGCCTCAGTCAGGTGCTGAAAGGACAATTTCAACTCAGCTTGTTTTGAGTAGCAGTAGGAAAATTCGAAGACTGTACACGGAAATAAACCCTGATACCCAAGCTTTATCTCCTCCTCACTTTGAAACCTAGTTTGAGACAAGTATGAGCAATTTGATACAAGAAATCTACTGGCCATTAAACTACATTTATAAAACTAATGCTTTCTGAAGGGTATCAAATACAAAACTCAGTACTAAGATTTTAATTAATGGTTTCAATAAGTTTGCCTCAATTTTCAGTACTTTAGAGGGCTCAATATGGCCAATAATAGACTATTTCTGCAGTGATTTAGTATCTGACTGTTTAAAACCAAGATTCTAAGTTATTATCATACTTTGCTCACTGTGGTGAAGACAAATTCAAAGGTTTAATTAAAATCACAAGTCTGAAAAAAATCTGTATTTTCAGTTTAATATATTCATCATCTATTAATTGAACAAGAACATATAGCCTTTTTTTTTTTTGGATACAGGAAACATGGGTAAATTGCTTAAATTTGATGAACCTGACCTATACTCAGAGCAGTAGTTACTCTAAATATCAACGGAGAGGAAAAGAGTCTTCACACCAAGTATCAATGCTATCTGCTCTATACACAGGGTAGACTGGGACAGGCAACTTAGACACTAGCTACCTAAAATGAGGGGGCAATAAATGCATGAAGTGACTGGCTTACAAGGTTTCAAGAGGGAGTTTAGTTTAAGAGTATGGGGGGAAAGAAAGAGTCCCCACTGAATAGCTGTCATATTGACTAGATGGGTCTGGTGAAAAGAGATGGGGATAAGATTCATAAGATTCAATAGTGAATAACTGTTATCGTGACTAATTGTGACTGTCACAATTGTAAAGGTAGAAGTTTTGTAACAAAAACAGGGGAGTGGTTAATCTTACAGTCCAGAAACTGAGGACCGTAGGACCATCAAGGGCGAAGACCACAAGCAGAATGCGGGACCTTATCCAGAGAAGCAGCAATACCAGAGATGGAGGCAGAGATGGGGGCATGGAGAGGGGGAGTGGCTGAGGACTCTAGATTCATAAGAGGTGGTGGCCAGGAGGCAGACTTGCAGAATGTGACTCTTGGAGATATAAATTATTATATGTGCCTGAGTGGTTTTTTGTTTGTTTGTTTGTTTGTTTTTAAAAAGCTAAAGTGCAAGGTTTTAAGAGAGAGCTTAGTTAAGAGTGTGGTGGGAAATAAAGAGTCCCCACTGAATAGTTATCATTTTGTCTAGATGGGTCTGGTGAAAGGAGATGGGGTAAGATTCGTAAGATTCAATAGTGAATAACTGTTATCATGACTAAT